AGAGGAGGGCATTGGGGTCAGCTACCCAGACAGCCATGGAGAAAGAAATAAAGAAGGGTATGCAAAACTAGAGAAAGATAAATGCCCAGAGGCAAAAGATAGTCAGGATAATTTAAGTCAGAAAAGCTGGAAAGAAACAAGCCAAGCTAAGGCCAGGCATTTCTAACTAAAAATAAGCCGCCAGGTGTGATTTATTTGGGATCTGAGTGTTGCCACCCCCCAAAAAAAGGCAAAAGAGTAAAACATCACACAACATAATACTTTCCAGTTTCATGTCTACCTTAAACCTCCCCTGGCCTATTTGAAAGTTATCTGATGATCCAAGTGTCACGACACGAGTTATGCTTTGAAGACCAGAAGAATGCTTTCTGCTTTTGTTTTTGTTTTTAGGTTGTGAGATTCCATCAGGATCTTGTCTGGTGGAGTATACTAACTAGCCTTGGTTTCTTCCCAGGGTGGACTGTGCCTACCAGTCATGAGGCTCTTTCTCCTCGCCCCCATTTCAGACTCCCACTGGTGACTAAACAAGACTGTCCCCTAATTCACTCAAGTACGTTGGTCATTCCAACAGATGTACATGGGAACAATAGAGACACCATTGTGGGGTGGAGGGAAAGGACACACCAGGGCCTATGGGCCTCCCTATGGTCCAATTTGTCAACCATGTGCTCTTAGTGGTACAAATACAATTCGTGGGAATCAAACCCAATGCCTAACAAAACAGCCAACTAACTGATCTTAGTCATGTAACTTGGCCTGTTTTTTAATCTCTGGCTATAATTTGAGCTATCTTAAGAAGAGCACTATGGGGCTGGAGAGATGGCTCAGAGGCTAAGAGCACTGGCTGCTCTTCTAGAGGTCCTGAGTTCAATTCCCAGCAACCACATGGTGGCTCACAACCATCTGTAATGAGATCTGGTGCCCTCTACTGGCCTGTAGGCATACATGCAGACAGAACACTGTATACATAATAAATGAATAAATCTTAAAAAAAAAAAGAATAGGGGCTGGAGAGATGGCTCAGAGGTTAAGAGCATTGCCTGCTCTTCCAAAGGTCCTGAGTTCAATTCCCAGCAACCACATGGTGGCTCACAACCATCTGTAATGAGGTCTGGTGTCCTCTTCTGGCCTGCAGACATACACACAGACAGAATATTATATACATAATAAATAAATAAATAAAAATAATAATAAAATAAAATTAAAAAAAAAGAACAGCATTACATTTTTGTTGTATTTCTTACACAGGGCCTCATGTAGTTCAGGCTATCTTTCAGCTCTCTGTGTGGTGGAGGGTAACCTTAAACTTCTGATCCAGCTGTTCCTGCCTCCCAAGTGCTGGGACTCTAGGTGTGTTATTACACCAGAGCAGCAGCACTGCATCTAAACAATAGGCTGGGCATGGTGACTCAGTTCTATAGTGCCAGCAATTAGGAAGCTGAGACGAGAAGGTCACAAGTTTAAGGACAGTCTGGGCTACCTAGTGAGACCCGGTCTCAAAAGGATGAATTAACTTAAACAGTGTGGCAATTCTTTTTTGTTTTTTTTAATATTTATTTATTTATTTATTTATTATGTATACAATATTCTGTGTGTATGCCTGCAGGCCAGAGAGGGCACCAGACCCCATTACAGATGGTTGTGAGCCACCATGTGGTTGCTGGGAATTGAACTCAGGACCTTTGGAAGAGCAGGCAATGCTCTTAACCTCTGAGCCATCTCTCCAGCCCCCAGTGTGGCAATTCTGAGATTTAAAGCCTACAGGGGGCTGGGGAGATGGCTCAGTGGTTGGGAGCACTGACTGCTCTTCCAGAGGTCCTGAGTTCAATTCCCAGTGACCACATGGTGGCTCACAACCATCTGTAATGAGATCTGGCACCCTTTTCTGATGTGTGGGCATACATGGAGGCAGAATGTTGTATACTTAATAAATAAATCTTTAAAAAAAATAAAATAAAGCCTACAGCTTTGATAGGAATCCCAGTAGGGGTTGAAAATAGCATCCAATGGACTCTCTCCCTCTCCCCCAACTCCCCCATCTCCTGCTTCCACAATCTGAAATAAAGTTCTCCAGAGTCACCCAAAAGCTGAGGGTGAGGTTGGGCATGCGCACCCATGAATATCTCTTACTTGGGTTTAAGAGGGCAGCTGCACAGTCTTCTCTAACTAGGTTAAAAAAAAAATAAAACAACTTCGGCCTCTTCTATTTCCCATGACAACAGGCTGTGCAGTGGGCAGGAACTGGGGATCTGGAACCATATCTAGAATGGAAAGTCCAGCACCCAGACCTCATAGCGCCCAAGCACGCCCTCCCCATCTCTGTTGATACCAGTGCATAAACCATGGTTTCTCTGGAGACTCTGACACAGTTGTAATGTTGGCAAGTGGGCAAAGAACTTTTGTGTTTATTATAGCAGTGACTCCTCCCTCCTGCTTCCCAATTCGTCATCTGGGACCCAGAGGCTTCCCATACAGGCCCCTCTCGCAGACATGCCCAAGTCCAGGCATCCTGGCTGGAGGGTACCCTTTCTTTTCCCTTCCCATTCGAAAGCATGGTGACATGCAAGGGAGTGAATTTTGAGTGACACTACGTAGAGGGATGACCCTGAACCCATCAGACTTAGCTTTCTTTTCTCTTTTCTTTTCTTTTCTTTTCTTTTCTTTTGGAGGCAGGTTATATGTAACTTAGGCCAGAATAAAACATGTCATTCTCCTGCCTCAGTGCTGGGATGACAAGCATGTGCTACCACAACTAGTTTTTAATTTAGTTGTTCAAAGCGAAGCAGGGGCAAACTCTGGGCTGTTACACATAACATAGGGCCCGCAATCTCTGGGCTGCCACAGCAGCGTGCTGGAGAAGGAAACTCTGAGGCTGAATCCGCTCTAGGCTCAGCAGGAGGCCAGAGCTGAGCTGAGAGAGAGAAAGGGAGACTGCCATCACGTAGAGACAGAGCTTGGTGGGACACCTTCACATTGCGGAAAACTTATTCCTCTTTGTTTGTAGCAAAGCAAACGATAAGGCTGAGCAATGCTTGCTGACTCAGAGAATGAGCCTGGAAGCTATCTATAGAACTGAGGTCCCTGAGGTGACTACATGCTTCCAGACATCAGTGCAAGCGACACCCAGAAAGCACTTCCTGTTTCGCTACAGGCTGGGCACCTTATCCAGTTTTCTTATCATAACAGACCCTCATTTCCATCCAAATGCCCTGATTCCTGGAGAGGACAGCAGTATTTTGTTTGTTTGTTTGTTTTTTATTTTTTGTCCACACCCACACTAGGTCACAAAGAACACAACTCTACCTACCTCCCGGCCCACAGACTTGAGCCAGACTTGTTCAAGGCAGATGAAGGAAGGGCTTCTACTCAGAAACCTATCTAGGGTGGGCTGTGCTCAAGGCCAAGACGTCAGGCGAGACGGTGACTTGCTGCCTGACTATGCTGATTTGTTGGCCAATTCACAGGAGGTGGCAGCTGATGTTGTAATGACAACTTAGAGGGCACCAGCAGCAGGAAAAGTTTGCTAAAAATGGCTTTTATTACAAGGCTTTCCTGAGTTTGGCTGTCCCCTGACATTATGTCATTAGGAAAAACCGATGCCTCTCAATAGCGAAAAAGAAATTTGTTCCTGAAGCAGAGGCTTGCTGAAAGCCGCTAGCTGTCTCCTAGAAATCACAACAGCGAAGCTTTCACGGCAACAGCAGCAACACATTGCAAATCAGCCCGGGAGTGTTTGACTCTCGGCCTTCTCTCTTATTCATTCCTCTAGTGGGGGAGGTGGGGGAGGAGAGAAAAAGAGGACTCTATTTGTAAATTCATTCACACTTAATAAGGCAAATCATAACCCTGGGGCTTCAAAATAACATCACAGGGTTTGGAGAGATGGCTCAGTGCTTGCGAGCCCTGGCCGCTCCTGCAGAGGACCTGGATTTAGTTCTGAGAAGCCACAAGACTTCTCCCAACCATCTATAACTTGAGTCCCAGGTGATCCAATGCCCTCTTCTGGCTTCCATGGACACTGTACACACATGGTATTCTTGCATACATGCAGACAAAACACTCACATACCTAAAATAAAAATAAATAAAATCTTTTTTTTTAAATCTCTGTGTTCCAGCCTAAGATCCTAGAAAAAAAAATCACTGTGGTTGCCAGAAAATTGGAGGCTATTTCTCATTGTTCGGTTCATGACAATAGGGCTCAATTCTTGGCCAACAGCCCATCCCTGTGCCTCTGAGGCCAAGCTGGGTTTTTTTGGCCTTTATGGCTTTTGCTGTACCTACTGTGCTGGCATTGTTGTGGTCAGACAAACATAGTTTCCCTTTCTTGCAGTCCAGTCTGGAAGGTTGCCTGGCCTAGAACTGAAGGGTACTAAGAAGGCAGTTTGGGGGCTGGGGGGATGGCACAGTAGATAGAGTACCTGCCTGGTAATCTCAAGAATTTGAGTTCAGCCCCTCAGCACTCACAGAGAAGGTGGCTGGGCACAGCAGCTACCTGTAATCCTAGGACTTAGAAGGCAGAGATGGGGAAAACGGGACCCCCGGGCAAGCTGGCCAGCTAGACTAGGAGGTATTGGTGAGCTTCGATTTCAGCAAGAGACCCTAGCACAGTAAATACAGTGGAGAGTGATCAGGGGAGACACCCATCAACCTCTGGTCACCACAAACATGAATATAAACACCTGTATACACATATGAACACGCACAGGAGCCAAAAACGAGGAGCAAGAGAGGCCTGAATTCCCACTCCACACGCAACCTCACGTCAGCCTTGCCCTTCCCCTGGTCACTAATCTCTGTGCCACTGAGATGTCACAGCAGCCATCACTAGAAATAGAAACTAGTTAGGTTCTGGGTCCTCTGTCCCCAATACCCGAGTCTCAGGCACTCAAGAGTTAAGATCAGCACTAAGAGGGCTGATGAAGGTACTTCACCCCTACTTGCCAAAGGCTGCTCATAAGAGCACACGTCTGGAAGGTTGAACCCTGTGCCCCCACTCACATTCATGGTTCCGTTGATCTCAGTCACGGACTCGTCATCCGTGGGGAACTGATAGATCTGGACTCCATTGCTCACAAGTTCACTGGTGATTTTGATCTTGAACTTTGTCAGCTCACTCTTAGAGATGGCGTCTGACTTGGCAATGATGGGGATGATATTCACCTAGGAGAAGGAGGAACAAAGTGGGATCCTTAACTAGCAACCGACAACTCCACAGCCTAGGGCTCCCACCAGCGCCCAGAGGGGGTAGCAAGCTCAGCGAATAGTCTAGCACTGTCCACCTTTAGCCAAATAGCAAATAACAATGACGAGTACTTACTATGTGTTGGCCACTAAGCTAAGTACCCTATGAATGGCGTAGCAAAATTAATCCCAACAACTTTCCCAGAAGGCATTGCTGCCAGTGTTTTACCAAAGTGAAATTGAACCGCACAGAGGTTAAATAACTTGCCTAAGGCCACAGGGCAAATAAGTTGCAGAACTGAAATTCAAATCAAACTCAGCGTAGTCCCAAAGCTGGTAGTAACTATGAACTGTCTATCAATTCAGAACCAAGTTGGTGGGCTGTGTGAAGTCTTGGAATCAAGGTCACTGCCCGAGTGTTTCAAAGAAGAAAGATGACAGGGAATTTGTGGTTGACAATGTGACAGGCAGCCATTTGTTGGTAACGATAAGCTGTCCCAACCTGTCCAACTGAGGCTTTCCCCAGCCAGATATACCATGGATCCACGTGGGAGGAAAAAGGAAGCAGGGGCAGAACTTGATGAGGTTGAACATGTATGTGGCTCTCCTGCAGCAGCCAGGTAGGCACAAAAGACCCAGTATTACGAATCTGACCTGAGACCTATGCAGAAAAGTTAGACTGGGCTGGGCATGTGCTCAGTTGGCGGGATGCTCGCTTAGCATGAGCCCTAAGCTCCATCTTCAGCTCCACCTATAATCCCAGCACTGGAGAGGTGGAAGTGGAAGGATCAGTCCAAGGCCATCTTTAGCTATGTGGTGTGTTTGAAGGTAGCTTAAACTATACTAGATCCTGTTTTACCATCCCCTACCCCCTTAAGTTACAATGCTTGCATTTATTTCTGAGCAAAGAAAGTAGGTATGAAGGCCTAATTTCAGATAGCAAGAAAGGCCTAGTGCCACCCCAAAAGTTCAACTCACCTGAACCCTGACCCTTGAAATCCCTCCAGAAAGAGGGAAAGCTTTTATTGCCAATGGTAAAGAAATCTGCCATGCGCGTGGCTTTAGGAGACAGAGCACACTAAGCTCAGGTTCCTGAAGAAAATGGAGTTGTTCCTGCTTGCAGACCTCACTGGGACAGCATGAATGTTGCTCAGGCCCTGGACTCTGAAAGGAGCATGTGGGGGTTCTAGAACTGATTAAGTCCTGTGTCTTTTGTGCTTTTGAAGACCCCTGAAGACACATCTCACAAAGCTTGGGATGCGAGTCAAAGACCGGACCTTGTAGTTATCTCTCTTGAAGTCTTTGGGGTTAAGAGATCCAGATCTTTGCCAAGATGGAACAGCAGGCAAATCCAAGCCTCCTTGTTATTTATTTATTTTTTTGCCTAGTCCTCATTAGTCCACAATAAACATAAACCAAAAACTGCTTACTTAATGCAGCCTACCCAGCAAACAGCCTGCCACATGGCTCACTGCCGCCCTATACGGGGCCGTGCTGGGCATGGAGACATTTCAGGAACAGCCTATTATTCACAAGTAGTGAGCTCATTGCTGCAAAAATGGAAAAAACTGCTCTTATTCTGATTATAGCTGACATTCAGTTCTTATAGTGGCTATGCTACCAAATGACTACATGTAAATTAGAATTTTGTATTCTAAAATAACTTGCAGTTGGAGTTAAAGGCAAAGCTCAACTCCATTACAAGTTGTCTGACCTTGAGCAAGGTACTTGCCTCTCTGTGCCTCAGTGACTTCATATGTAGCCTCAGTGACTTCATATGTAGTAAGTAACAGCACTTAAATATACTACTAGATTATTAGAAGGGCAAAATAGGGCCCAGTCCCTGTTGCTGAAGACAACATTTAGATACGTCATCAAATATGTAGAAGTTGAGCTGGTGCCTAACTAGAGCCTTCACTGCTATTACTGGTGTTCATGCTATTGGAATGCACTTTGCACACTACCAAAGGAGAAAGGCAACCACCACCCAGCCAGCTACAAACCCTGCACACTACAATGTCACCTGCCTATGTGATATGCTGGTGCAACAGTGGCACAACTGTTGTGGAGGTAACCAACCACTGCCTAATTGGATTTAAGGCCCACTCCATGAGACAGAATTCATGCCTGACACTGCTAGACCTGAGACTGGATAGGTCATGGGCCTAGGGGAAAACTAAATACTAAGTACTAAATACTACTAAGTACAGTTGTGCTAAAAGAGCATGGCAATAAAATAACTCCTGACAACATTCTGCTATACCCAGAGATCAGTGCCTTGCTCAGCCATCATCAGAGAAGCTTCTTCTTGCAATAGACAGGAACTAACACAGAGACCCACAACAGGACAATGTGTAGAAAGTGGGACTTTGGCACTCAGTCCTAAATAGGATCCTCCCCCTCAGAGCTCAGGGATCTATGTGGAAGATGGGGTAGAAAAACGGAAGAGCCAGAGGTGATGGGTGACACCAAGGAAACAGTGTCTTCCAGACAATGGAACTGCTAAATATGTTAACTCAGAGATGGTAGCAGCACAGGTTCAAGCCAGACAGGATCCCATTGCTGAGAGAGAGGAAGTAAACACAGGCTCTGTCTCTAACCAAGAAGTAGATGATACCTACTTGGAAAGGAAAGATTACTTTTTCCCCAATGGAGTCTCACTGGGTACATTAACTTCAAGATATACCCATGGCCAGCAGTAGATGGACCACACACAGTGAACTCAATGGTGGTCTTGTAGACTTTTTGCCTCATACTGCTTCATTTGGGCTTTTCTCTTTTTCTTTTTCTTTTCTTTCTTTCATCCTTTTTATTTATTTATTTATTTTTTTTGCCTTACTGGTCTTGTACTTATATATTTGGTTTTTGTTTTCATGAAGTTTCTTTTTGTGTATTTTTTGGGGGTTGTTGTTTTTGATTTTTAATGAGAAAGGGATAAAAGATATGGAGGTGGGTGGGTGGAAAGGTGGGGAGGATCTGGGAGGAGTTGTGGGAGGGGAAAAGCATGATCAGAATACATTGTATGAAAAAGTTTTTTTTGTTTTTTTTTTTGTTTTTTTTTGTTTTTTTTTTTTTCGAGACAGGGTTTCTCTGTAGCTTTGGAGCCTGTCCTGGAACTAGCTCTGTAGACCAGGCTGGTCTCGAACTCACAGAGATCCGCCTGCCTCTGCCTCCCGAGTGCTGGGATTAAAGGTGTGCGCCACCATCGCCCGGCTGAAAAAGTTTTGATTAAAAATAAATAAAATCTAAAAATTTAAACAAAATACAATAAAAGCACCTTTGTTAAAAACAAAAGCAAACAAGCAACAATAACAAAAAACAGGGTTCAGGGGGCTGGAGAGATGGCTCAGAGGTTAAGAGCATTGCCTGCTCTTCCAAAGATCCTGAGTTCAATTCCCAGCAACCACATGGTGGCTCACAACCATCTGTAATGAGATCTGGTGCCCTCTTCTGGCCTGCAGGCATACACACAGACAGAATATTGTATATATAACAAATAAATAAATAAATACTTTAAAAAAAAGAAAAAAAAACAAAACAGGGTTCAGTGGCTAAGCTCTCGCTGCACAAGTATGAGGAGCAGAGCTTGGATCCCCTGAACTTGCAAGCATTCAGTGTGCCCATAATTCAGCCTCAGAAGGTAGATCAAGCAAGGTAGTTAGCAAGACCAGCTATATATCTGAATTCTGGTTTGGCTGAGAGATTCTGCCTCAGTGAATAAGGTAGAAGATCAATGACAGAGGATGATTCTGACATCAACCTTCAGTCTCCACATAGCATCCATATGCACATACACACATGTGTACATACATGCAAACATGCATACACACATATACAAATAGAAAAGAAGAAGAGATGAAATAACATATATGTACATAGTGCCTGGCACATGCCAAATGTTAGGGAAGGAAACTTGTAGTAATTAGGCTTTTGAAAGAATCTGATGTTCAATTTGTTTTATTTTTATGGTGCTGAGAATCAAAACTAGGGCCTTGGCTGGAGAGATAGCAGTTTATAGCAACCGATGTCTTGCAGAAGACCTAAGTTTGGTTTCTAGCACCCACTTGGTGGCTCGCAGCCATCCTTAACTCCAGTTCTAGGGAATCCAACATCCTCTTCTGAGCTCCTTCAGCACCAGGCATACAAGTGGTGTACAGATATGCATAATGCAGTAAAATACTTGAAAATATCAAATAAAATAAATCTAAAAAAATTTAAAGTAAAGAATAGTACTGTATTCCATTGCCAAAACCAGCACCCTTAAACTTGAACAGCCATCTTGCTTGCATTCGTTCTTATTGTCAAGACACTCAGGACAAAGCCATTCCTAATACTAGGAATCCAGATGGCAAAGCATATAGCCCAAATGCACGATATGTAACACCATCCTTATGGGGGAAGGGAACAGAGGGTGGGATTAGGATGCCACAAAACCTCTTCTGGAACCCAGCATCTCTTGTATATCAGATCAGTAAGAGTCCAGCTTGCTCAGCCCCAGCTCCTGCCTCATACCTTGCTATCCAGCTTGTTCATGGTTACTAGGTCCAGAGACTTAAGCGAATGTCCTGTGGGGGCAATGAAGTACAAGCAGACATGGATTCGGGAGTCATGGTAGGTGTGCAGTACTCTCCGGATCTTCAGCTCCTCCTGCAGGTAGGCCTCAAACTGAGCATCTATGAATTCCACTATAGGCTTATAGCTAGAGAGGAGAGGAGAGAAATGGTGTCAAGTGCTTGGTTTTTTTTTTTGACATAGTCAATCCCAGTTAGAAACACAATGTGTCCTCTGTAATTGGACCTCCCCCATCTAGTTAGGCTTCTCTGTGTCTTCTTGGTGGGGTCTTATACTGACAACTTTCGTTGTCTTCTTGGGCCACATGTGAACCCAATTTATTTTTTCACTGTGGAATGTCCATTAATCTCCACATCCCCATCCTCCCTCTGCACACCTCACAGCTCAGTTTAATGCCTATCTCCTTCCAAGGGCCTTCTCTTCTTATGCCCAAAATCCCTTCTGTGACCCAGCAGTGTAAAAAAAAAAAAAAACTCTACATGGTATTGGAATATTTGCTGCTGCTTTGCAGGAATCAATGTTCTCTTAGATTCGTGGTGTCTTCCTGAAGGACAGGACCTGGGAAGAGAACGCCTCTATCTTCCAGCAGCCCCAAGGCAATTTCTGGTGGGGTCTGTAGTTGGACCCTTGATCTAAGCCCATTAGATGCTTCCTGCAGCTCCCCACACCCTGCCTTGGCTTTGGAGCTCTGAACACAAGACCTCTCTGTGATCCACACTAGGGGATTCTGTCACAGTGCTGTGGGATCTTGGCTCATTCTTGCAGCAATGTGGGAAGCATCCCAATTAACAACCTCGATAGTCACATATGTTTTTTCCACTTCTTTTTGTTTTAAAGATTTATTTATTTATTATGTATACAATGTTCTGTCTGTGTATATGCCTGCAGGCCAGAAGAGGGCACCAAATCTTATTACAGATGGTTGTGAGCCACCATGTGGTTGCTGGGAATTGAACTCAGGACCTTTGGAAGAGCAAGCAGTGCTCTTAACCACTGAGCCATCTCTCCAGCCCCCTGTTTTTTCCACTTTTTTTTGTTTGTTTTTTTTTGGATTTTTCGAGACCTTTTGATCTAAGCATCCAGACAAAATTTGTTAAAGGTACGTCCCCCAATCATCTACATAGGAACCTCAGCTCACTGAGAATCCATGCAAAACTGCCCTTGGCAGTCTTCCTGACTCAACAAGACATTTATTTATTTATTTGTTGCTTTGTTTTTGAGATAGGGTCTCATTATAGCCTTGTCTGATCTGGAACTTGTTATGTATTCCAGGCCTTGAACTCACAGAGATCTGTCTGCCTCTGCTCCCCAGTGCCGGGATTAAAGGTGTGCTCCACAGTGCACAGCTGTCTGCCTCTGCTCCCCAGTGCCGGGATTAAAGGTGTGCTCCACCGGGCACAGCTCTATTTGTCTCTTTTCTAAGACAATATCTTGCTATATAGCAGAGGTGTTCTGAATGAAAATGGCCCCCAAAAGGAGTGGCATTATTAGGAGGTGTGGCCTTGTTGGAGTAGATGTGGTCTTGTTGGATGAAGTGTGTCACTGTAGGGGTGGGATATGAGGTCTCATTATGCTCAGGCCACACACAGTGAGTCAGACCACTCCCTGTTGCTTGTGAGTCAAGATGTAGGACTCTCAGCTCCTTCTCCAGCACCACATCTGCCTGCATGCCACCATGCTCCACCATGATGATAAAGGCCTGAACCTCTGAGACTGTAAGCCAGCCCATTAAATGTTTTCCTTCATAAGAGCTGTCCTTGTCATGGTGTCTCTTCACAGCAATAAAACCCTAACTAAGACAATAGCCTCATGTTATTCAGGCTGGCTTCAAACCCATGAACCTTCCACCCCCGCTTCCTGAGTACTAGAATTAAATTATGTGTACCACCACACCTGATTCAGCACAGCCTCCTAAACAATAGTAAACTGAAGGTCTATAGGCAGTTAGCAGTTGCTAGAGGGAGAGATATTTTCTTCAGTAGTGTAGCCACTGGTGAGTTGCCAGTAACTTCTGTAACTAACCCCTTATTCATGTTCCTATAAGTAACCCTAATTAAACTTGCTGGTTTTCTCATAAACACAAGGGCATAAAACAGGGAGTTGGTGAGATGGCTCAGTGGTTAAGGGTACCTGCCATCAAGCTAGAGAACCTGAGTTTGATTCCCAGAGACCACATGATAGAAGGAGAAAACTAGCTTTTGATGTTGCCCTCTGACCTTTATACATGCACTGTGGTATGCATACACACACACACGATAGTACACTTGCACACATGCACACACACAAATAAATGAAAGTGTGTTTATTAAATACCTCTATTTACAAAGATAAAAGCAGAAGAGGGGCTACTTGGGAAGGGGAAGAAGATCAATGGGAGGGGACAAAAGAGGGCAATGTGAACGAATATACTAAAGAATGCACTATGTACACACACAAAAGTCTCATAATGAAACTCATTAGCACATATCATTAATATATGCTAAGTTTTCAAGACTTCAGAAAAGATAATCAGCCCAGTTCTCCTCCCTGTCCTGGGCCTTTCCGGAAATTTCTTTCTTCCTAGCCCTATCTGCACTGAAGCCACTCCAATTGCTCCAACATTCTTTCTTTCTTTTTTCTTTTTTTTAAATTTATTTATCATGTATATAGTGTTCTGGGCACCAGATCTCATTATAGATGGGTGTGTGTCATCATGTGGATGCTGGGAATTGAACTCAGGACCTCTGGAACATCAGTCAGTTCTCTTAACCTCTGAGCCATCTCTCCAGCCCCTTTCTTTCTTTTTCTTAAATACACTTATTTATTGTGTAGGTGTGTAGGTGTGTGGCCTAAGTGTCGAAGTCAGAGGACAGTTTGCGTGAGTCAGTTTCCTCCTTTCACCCCGAGAGATCCAGGGGTGGAGGAACATCAGCTTGGTGGCAAGCATCTTTAAGCAGTGAGCCAGCCCACTTGCTCAGCCTCACCCTTGACCGCATCTCTGTCTTCCTGCTCTAACTAGGTCAGCTCAGTTTCAGCCCTACCTCTCTCCTCCTCTCCTCAGCTTGCAGGGTGCCTCTCCCCTGGAGATGCTGCCTCCCTTCAGGGAAGAAGCGTTTCTTTACCTCAGCCCAGGGCAGGTTAGTTTTCAGATCCCACTGCCACAAGAGGACATGATCAAAGGAAGGTATGAGACCAGCCAACACCTCCCACCTGCAACAGGTCCTAACCCGAGCCTTTGTGAAAGAGCCCCCTAGGAAAGGGGAGAAAAACAGCATTTAAAAAAAGAATCACAGAATCCTGCATCCGGAGAACTGCCTTCAGGAAGAGACCCAGGTGCAGGGTATCTCTGGCACCCCAAAGGAAAAAAAATCTAAAAATATTGTTCTTTCTCTCTTCCCTTGATTCCCCCCCCCAGTCAAGACCGTTTTTGAAGCACAAATGATTTCTTGGCAGCCAAGAGTCATAGAAGGTTCCTGAAGAATTCATCGTGAGAATAGAGGGCGCATCCCTCAGATGTAGCTAATTGGTAGATGGGTAGCTGCTTTGAATTACATGATCAGAGCATGGCTTTGCTTTCCTCTCTTACATAACTTCTTTTTATTTCAGTTTTTGCTTCACACAAAGGGGTGGGGGAGACAGAAGAGCCTATTTTTCTCAGCTTCCTTCCCCTTGAATCTCCGAAGCACTGTGTTCATCTTATTGCCACTGCCCCTGGCTCCCAGAGGCTGTGAAGAGGTGCATAGATCAGACCAGCCAGACAAGCCAATCAGCCACCAGAATCTGGGCTCTGAAAGAAGGGTGACTCAGCCTTGTGCTAGCCAGCTTTGTTTCGCCAGTGTCTGGTCTACTGTCTGGCATACAGTGAGGACTCCACCTACGGCTCTGAGTTCTCTCACCTTTGCCCCCATGGCTGATCTTCCCACAGTGGTTATCTCTTCTCCACGTGTGGCTATCCTTACTGGACTCCACTCTGGGGCAAAGAAAACCCTTACTTCTGTGTGCAACTGCACGACTGTTTCTTTTTTAGTTCAAAGCACTGCTTTTCTTGTGCCCCTCCCAAGAGGACGTTTCTCTATGACCCACACCCCAGTTCCATGGAGGGCTAGAGAAGACAGCTTTCTTCCAGCACTTTCCTCCCTCATCACTACAATTAACCTTTTCCCTTTTAAGGCAACAAGTTCAAGACTTTTGCAGACCATGCACGGACTTATTCTTTTCTAACGCGCATCAGTGTTTTGTCTGCCTATATTTCTATGCGCCACGTGCATGTCTTGATTCCAGGGAGACTAGAGAGGGTGATAGATTTCCTGGGACTGAAGCTACAGATAGCTGTAAGGGCCCATGTGGATGCTGGGAATTGAACTTGGGCCCTCTGCAAGAGCAAACAATGCTCTGAACTGCTGAACCATGTCTCCAGCCCTACCCATACAATTCTAAACATGGAGTTCACAGACCTCCAAGGAGCCTCTTGATAGAATTTAGAGAATTCCCAAACTTGGACAGAAACAAAATACACCTCAAACTGAACTTTGGCAGTTTCTTCAGTTATAAACCAAGGTAATCACCTATAGCACTGCTTGCAGCACCTGTGATTTTTCTGTCCAGTAGAAATCAGCCATATTTTCATTTCCCAGTCCAGTGGGTGCACATCTGTCAAAATAGCATCTACATCCATCAGAGCTTCTATATTCTGGTAATTATAACGCCTACAACTAGATACTATTATTTAAGGGCTTGACAGATAAGTGTATGGGTTACTAAATCATAGCTTAAAATATTTTGGCAACTGTACTTTTAATACAACTGGTACATTTTAGGCATTCAAAAGTTATTTTGTGAATGAGGCCAGAGACCACAGCCCAGTACTACAGGGTGCCCATTGTCCAAATACTTCTTCATTTCTGGTACTGAGATGTACTATGGAGATAGAATATTGAATAGAAAGTATTGGAAGTTCAGAGACTTTTGATATCATGACCAGGGACGCTTCTCTGAGGGTTCAATATCTGAGTTGTAAGGATGAGTCCACCAGTAAGCCCCAGTAAGATCCAGGAGAAGGGCAGGCCAAGCAACAGGAACGCAATAAGGATGCTGAGGCCTAGACCAACCTGACAAGTTTAAGCAGCAGGAAGAAATGCAGGGAGCTAA